AAAAAATGTTTTAATTGCCTAAAAATACCATGAGTATACTACTACATGGCATTTGAAAATTAACCTTTTTGCGTATTTTGCTGTCCTAAATGTTGAAGTTAATTTGGCTCTAGTTTTCTCAATGTTTTACCGATTCAAACCAAACACCCTGCACATAATCGAGAAATTACCAGAGTTTCATAAGTCACACTTGTTGATCACGTCTCGGTTGTGTATTTACACGGATATTCCTTGGGTTCTGTCGAATGGGGGAGACATTTTAATGATTGTTTTTTTTTTCTAATATGAACCTAGCACTTTTTGTTGTCAAATCATAACCGAATCGTATATATGAGACTCTGTAGATCATGCACGACTTATTACTATGTATACCGGAAATTATAGATTTTCCAAATCGTCCAGGACATCAGTTGATTTGTTCTACTAGATCAACCAAGACTGCAATAATGTCTGTAGTATCGAAAAATGTCCAATAAGATTTAAAGTGTCTATGTGGATCATGCATGATCTATGTCCGACTAATCCAGATGTTCAAGGTTCTTCAAATCGTCCTGGAGTTCAGATAATTTGAACTACTAGATCAACCGAGATTGGGACACTAAAAACTATCGAAATATTTCCAGACAGATGCACAGTGTCTATATGGATAATGTATGATTTATTTCCACGTATACCAGATGATCTAGGTTCTCCACATCGTTCTGCAGTTCAGATGATTTGTTTTACTATATCAACAAAGACTGGGATAATATCTGTAGTATCGAAATATCGATTTGGAAATCCTAGAACATTTGACATACACGGAAATAGGTTGGCATGATCCACGTAGACACTGCAAATTTGTTTGGATATATTTCGATATTACAGATATTGCATTAGTCTTGGGTGATCTAGTAGAAAAAAATCTGATTTCTACAATGATTTCAAAACCTATAACATCTTGTATACGTAGCAATAGGTCGGGAACCATCCACATAGACATTTTGAATCTGTTTGGACATATTTCGATACTACAGACATTACAGACTGCAATCTTGGTTGATATAGTAGAACAAACCAACTGAACTCCAGGACGATTTGGAGAACCTAGAATATCCGGTATACATGGAAATTACTAGCATATATACGATTCGTTTATGATTTGGCAACGAAAAATGCTATGTTCATATTGGAAATGTCTCACATTGGACAGACCCCAGGGAATTTCCGTGTAAATCCGGTATGAGATCATTTCTCGATTATTTGCAGGGTGTTTGGTTTGAACCAGTAAAAAATTGAGAGCCAAATGAACAACAAAATTGATGACAGCAAAATAATCCGGGACGGAAGGATTACAATGAATTCCACAATTTTTGTGACAGCACATTAGTCCCTTCGCGATTTTCGCGACATCATTTAATGTTTCCGCGATTTTCGCGACTGAAAGTTCAAATCCGCGAAAATCGCGAAATTCGCGAAATCCGCGCCTGTTGTAACAGCCCTGGTGTTGGGCTGGGGGACAGCAATCTCTGTGAATGTGGACAAGGTTACCAAGACGCAGATCACATCATTTGGTCTTGTGCTGAGCATCGTGGAGTCAGATCTGATCTGTACGATTCCCTTCGGGCTCGAGGTAGACAACCAAATGTTCCAGTTCGGGATGTTTTTGCTGGACGCGATCTGGAGTTTATGACAATCATATATGTTTTATTGAAGAATATTAACCTTAAATTGTGAGTTTGATTAACCTTTGTTTGATTTGTTTGTATTTTGTGTGTGGTTGGTATTTTTAAATGTTTGTTTTTTAAATAACAGTATAATTACGCTGCTGATACCAAGTTTAATAGGATTAAGTACATGTTTTAGAAAAAAAGTGAAATTTTTGTATCATAAGTCATCTCCTTCTCCTTCTCCACATCCATAAAATTGTCATCCACTAACATCGAGAAAACCGCGAGTATTCGGTTGTATTCCTTTAACTTTAGATTTTAGCCACAATTAATGTATAACAAAAAAGATAATTTGGCTCAGTAAAGTTTATTCGAATAAGCCTGTACAAATAAAGTAATTAACAAAAAAAAACAATCATACTTTATGCCCCGGAAGGTTGAGAAATCTTCCAACACAAAAAAAATATAGACGGGCCCGGAAATCGAACCCAGCCACCTCCAGAATGGTCTTGTTTTGTAGCTGCGCCTTTACCGACTGAGGTAAGGGAGCCCCGAGTAAAATATGAACTCCCTTATTTACGCATAATTTTTACATCTATGCATATGAGTGGTAAGCATTCATTCTTGATTTTTAATTCCAAATAAATGCAGAAATTGGGCAGAAGTCAGCAAAATTCTACATGACATAAATTTATGTTGCGCGTGGCGCTGGTCTGGCAGAAAACAGTTCAGAAATGTCACGACATTTTTCCGCTAGCCAGTTTGTTCTTGTTGGTCTTCACGTATCAATTGTTAAGGAAAATATGTTAAAAACCAATACTCAAGCCACCACTGCTCTGGACGATGGTTTTGCAAAAACAAATGTATATTTGCCACCTTTGGATGGGCAGGCTTAACGTTCATGCTGGAACATAATTGCCATGAAAAAGGAGAGAAGAAGTTTAATGTCGTCTGTATGTTTGAATTAAAAAAAAAATACATCCCATCACTCAATCGAGTATGTGTAAATTTTTATATAGCATACCTAAACGGGAATAAAATATGTGCGCTTCGTTTAACACAATCACACATCGGAACGTGACGAATCAATCTGCTGACAAATTCAATCTTACGACATCATCAAAAACATCTTAACTTGTCAAAATTCGAATCGTTCTTCATTCAGTATGCTAGGGAGAAAAACAGTCGTGTTGATGCGATTGACAGGAACCAAAAGATGGAATCAGTTGGGCTGAGTGAAATACCTTTTAACTGCCGTTGGCATAATGTCACACAAGAGAACGCTTACACGTGCAAACGCCGCTGTGAAAAGGGATGTCTAAAGTTAGATTGAATTATCGCCTCCATACAGGCATTCTCATACATCTCCGGTTGAATCTAATTCGCTTAGCAAAAAGTGCCTTTTATTTCAATCCCAAAATCCTGGAATATTTGTACGTATACGTTTTGAGCATACAGAAGACGGTATCTATGTAAGGCGTTCATCAAATTCTAGTGGACAGTAAGGACAAACAGTGACACATTTGAAGCATCTTGGGAATTCGTTTGAATTATACTCAGCAGGATGTTAATTACCGCTGAATTACGGGAATGAACAAAAATGAATTCAGCATGTGGAAATCTGACACAGTATGTTGATGGGGTAAGGCAGCCACTCTAAGCTTAAAGTAAAATGTAATCAAAACTATATAATATTTCCGTGAATTTATGTGAATATTGATCTCCAGAGTACTTTTCCTCATTGCATTGATTTTTGAATTCTATTTCATTGTTTAATCACGAACCAAAAAAAATCTTAATAATGCAAGAAAAAATATAGAGTAACGGACGCGGACCATGATGGTAACTTTTGGAGGTTGAACACTTTTATCATAGTATAATTTCTATTACAAATAAATTTAGAATAATTTGTCACAGGATACAGGTGAATAAAAACAACACGACGTGTGCATGCACTAGACACAACTTTCTCTTAAAACTCTGCCAGCTAATGTGGTTCAGTTTTGCTTACACCATTGTGGGTAGTTTCTGTCACGTTCGTGTGAAAAAAATACGTAGAATTATAATAGTACGCTTCAAGAACTAATTGTTTGCTTCTCCAGCGCATAATTTCTACTAGACATGAACTTAATTACGCTAAGGCCATGACTGGGCGCTTTGGGGAAAACATCATCTATTCCAAATTGTTGCCAAGATAGAAAAGCGCAAGATGACCTCGTAGGTTTTTGCCCTCGTGGGTGAATGGCTGAAAGTCATCATGAGATGACAATTAGAAGCGTTGATGATTTTCACTGTGAAGGTAAATAAATAGCTTTTCCAGGAAATGAATTGTCTGGAAGGTTGACGTGCTTGAAATAATTAAGCAGAATAAAGCGTCAAGCGAATTAGTCCAATGATGCCATTTTCTTTCGGTTGATGAATTTTTTGATTAGTTCGTCGTATTTGTACGGATCGAATGGGGAAAAATATTCCATTCAACTTTTGTTTTCCTGTCCATTGCATTCTGATCGAACGTTCTCATACATTGCCATTGCTTGGATTTATCTTCACTAACAATTATACGACAATTAATTTGTCAATCTTGCGCTGTCTTTCGAAAGTTTCAGTTCGCATGTTGCTTGTTTCGCGAGAGGACAATCTTGAAACTATAAATCCTCTCTCTAGTTAATTGATGATGAACTTTTTTAATTAAAGTTCGAACACATAGCCTCTCGTTTTTGCAGAGTCCCTGGTCGATACTGCCGCAGGGCTTTTTCTGTATAAGACACTTTGCAATTTTTTGCGCGCTCAAAACAGGACTAAAATAGCTGCTGCTAGGAGAATGAAGATTGGAACATACAGCGACTACATTTAGCAGATGGCAGCACTCAGCTGCAACAAGAACCAGAACAGAGCACAACATCCACGGCATACTACTCACGACAAGATGAGTCTGTAAAAATTGAATTACATAATTACGCTTTTGCTCCCCCTAGTTTTTCAATTCGTTTTTAATCTTTTTCCCATTTACGCCTCCGTTCGTCACAAACAGAATGCGACGACGATGGTTGGAGCAGAACGTAGCAATTAGCTAGAACCCAGGGACAAATGATTCTCCCTGGGCTGTTAGCAATTGTAGCACATTGTCATTGCGTTTATATTATCTGTTTAATTTTCTTTCGATGTTTCAGCCGATTGCTGTTATTGTCATTGATGTGGATTTTCCTTATTACTGCAAGTTCAGCTAATCGCTAATATGTAGTGGTGTGACTTGACAGTAAATTGGGGTTGGATTTGTTTGGAAAATAAATAAATATCATTCGTTTCGGAATTGAGAAATTAGTTCTTACTTATCTTTTGAAGTGGGTACACTTGTGCCAAGTAAAATGAGTCGTTTAGCAGTTTTTGTAATAAGTGTTGTTGGTGCGACTATTGTGTTGGCAGATGTTACTCCACGAAGAGACGCAGAGGTAGGATATGGACGATAGCTTTAGGATGCACGATTCAAAATTTTAGAAGTTATGTTTTTATATGCGTTAATATTTTTCAGTATCCACCACCAGAACTTCTGGAGGCTCTGCGGCCCCTTCGCGATATATGTGTGAAGAAAACGGGAGTATCTGACGGTAATGATCCTCCACTAACTTCTATCAAAATGTATCTGAAACGAAGGGTTTTGTTCCAATTTTCCTTACCCCCTAAGAATCCTTCAGGTTTCCTAGTATCTAGCAACTTCACTGAACAAAATAACTTATGAGCATTGAGAAACAAAATGTCACAAGCTGATCGATTTGTTGGGACTTTCGATAGTTTTGAGAGCTCTCTTTATTGATCTCAAGTAGCACGATTGTTACAACCCAAGTAACAATTTTGGTTTTATGAGGGTTCTGTAGACCATCATTTAGACTTGTAGCATGCTTTAAAAACTCGATAAAGATGTTACTTGGGAAATCGGATATGAATTTCTTTTATGACTTATTTTAATCAAAACAAATTGCAGCAACTATTTGTGACTTAATTTTGTTACTCAGGATACTAGTTAGATCCGATTGTGTTTTCTGAACTAGTACACTAGATCGTACACTTTGTAACATGTCCTATTTCCTCTAACGCAATAATGATTTCCTGTTCGGTTGCATCAGTAACATAATTTTTGGGTATCAGCTTTATTAAAATGGAAACCTTTTCAGCTGCACTTCAGCTGTTTTATAAGTTGTTGTACTGTCACACTGATCTTCTCAGAACTTTTTAGCTGGATTTTAACCACAACACTTATTATTGTTACCCTTCAACTTATGCTCCTTTTCTTGCTATTAATATTAAACCACAAATTCAAAATCACAAATAAGATTAATCCAGGTGGACATGTTTCTTCGGTGTATGATTTGTTGTCGATTAGAAGCACATGTGTTCAACATGATGAAAGTACATATTTTGTACGTGAATACTGTTTCCGTTACGAAAGGACAACATACTGGTTCACCAACTCCTATGTATCGTAACGCATACTTCGTAATAAGTTTAAAATTGCTAAACTGTGTGTAACACTTGTTTTTTCTTTTTTTTTTTGTTATTTGGCAAGGGTTTTTTGAACGCCTCGAATACATTGAAATCAACGTGTTAACTAACAATAGGACACTCAAATATACCACTAATTTGTGAACTTGTGGAGGTGTTTTATCAAAATCCTAACGGTCAAAAAAGTAACGCTCAACAGGCATTTTCATTTAGATACAGTCTTACCACGGAGAAAATGGCGTGAACGACACGAAATATACGAAAATCATAATGGTTGATCATCGAAGATACATACATTTAGGCGTTTGTGAGAAAGTTTATGTGTACAATACATCACTTGCAAACGACACGAAATATACGAAAATCATTCTCTAGCAGCACGCATGTTTCAAAATAGTTGAAGCAACTATTATGTGATTTATTTCAGTCACACTCAAGTTTCTGTAACTTTCTACCACAGTTTTGTGCTGCTCAGGTTAGTTGATCATCGATGATACATACATTTAGGCGTTTGCCGAGAAAATTTATGTGTACCTACATCATTTGCATTAAAATTGCTATACCTCATACCATTTTTTTTTCCGATCAGGGGCTGGTTCTAAAATTCCATAACACAGAAAACATGATTATTAACCTCAACTCTATCCTACGTGACGTAATATTAGGATTGACCCTAAAAGTGCTACCATTTTCCGTTACAGAGGCCATCAAAGAGTTTAGCGACGGTAAGGTTCACGAAGACGAAAAACTGAAATGCTACATGAACTGTCTATTCCATGAGGCTAAAGTGGTTGATGACACAGGCCACGTGCACCTGGAGAAACTTCACGATTCTCTTCCCGATTCCATGCATGATATTGCGCTCCACATGGGCAAGCGCTGTCTCTATCCAGAGGGAGAAAATCTCTGTGAAAAGGCTTTCTGGCTGCACAAATGCTGGAAGGAGTCTGATCCCAAGGTAAGACATTAGCACCTATTTTCTACATGTAGGGTAGATATACCAGCCATAGATATACGTTCTTATTATGGTTTGTTCCAATTATGACCCATGGGAGCTATATAAGCCTTATCGTGAAACTCCGTTAGCTTGAATCGATAAAATGAGACATAAATGGCGCAAATTTAGAATTTGTTTACCTGGTATCCCTAAACCGGTGTGCAATATCAATGGAGACTTATGTAGAAGGTACCAAATTCTAAATAAGTGCCGTTTAATTGCAATTTATGCTATTCAAACTGACTGGGTTCTACGGTAATCGGAACGCATCATAATAGAAGCACATAGCTATAACTATAACATTTACTTTATGCATTTGTTTTAGCTGATTGAACACTTTAAAGTGAATTCTCAGTCAAAACCAAATGTAGCATAACAGCTTAACATTCTTCTCAACATTTATTATTTTTTTCCTTAATTTTTTTAGCATTACTTCCTGATCTAAGACGCTAGCAGAATCAGAAATGGATTGCAAAAATAACATGCAATAGTGTAAAAATAAATAAGCACGTAGAAGTTGTAACTAACTACCAAGAAAAAATCTAAATTTAGGAATAGTAAGTGACTAACCTAAAGCAATTAACAAAAGCAAAAAAAATATACAAAGATAAAAACAACCAAACGACTTTAACTTCTGACGATTTAATGATTTTAAATAGATGTTTCTAGAAGAGCTAGAATAATGGTTGGAAAGGAGATCTTATTTAAAAGAAATGCAGAGAATCCTTTGGCTAATCCTTGCAAACAGCGACCATGTGCACACTACTTTCAAAGTACCATAAACAACCTAAAACTAAAACAAAAACGAAAAGGATTCCCCCCCCCCCCCCCCCACGGTATCCCTATCCTATCCAATAACAAGTGGCCATAGCGAGCATAGCCGCGGGCCCACTTACATTGATATGTGTTCACGTATGCTGCCTACGAAAACATGGCGGTGTGTCAGGCCCTTGGCTGAATCACTTGAAATATAATAACAAATGGAACACAATATTGCGGATTTTCACCAAGGTAGACTCCCGCTAGTGTTTCGATATGTTATTCTATTGTAAAATGTAGCGCTACCTTACATTCAACATGGCCAAAATTTGTTTTTACAAGCCTGAGCAAAAACAAATTTCAGGGGAGGTTCTCATTCAAATGGTCAAAAAGTGAGCAATGTTTGGCTTTTTTTTGTGGACCAACACAGAAGGACGCGGTTTTGAAATTCAAAAAGCTTAGAAATTCGTATTTATTTCCAAATTTTTACAAGGCGAAAAAACAAAATGGTGCCCGTGGTCACGTTTGAGTAAGGTAGTATACGCCTGGAATTGTCAAACTGCGTACAGTCCGGTACCTCAGGATCGATCTGAAACACAATACGATTAATGAGGCTTTAAATTGAACTAAATTTATTGGAGGAATGGCCTAAGAACGGGTAAAAAACTTCAAATTTGACGGAATGATGCGATCTCAAACTTTTTTGACCCCCTTTTTTCCTCTTTATGGCTTCAGAAAAAAAAATAGTGATTACAAAGAATTTGTAGATTTCATAGATTTTCTTTCAAAAGGTAGAAGTTAAGTGGAGCAGCGCCGGTTGTATAGTGGTAGGCGTGATTATCTCTCACCCCAGCAGACCTGGTTTCAATCCCAGTCGGCGCCACGGGGATGTTCTGAGGCATAACATCTCTGATCACGCCTTCCTTCGGAAGGGAAGTAAAGCCGTTGGTCCCCGGTTCATGAGTTTGATGGGTCGATAGGTAGGGTCCAGGTGTGGCAGCTGTCACCCTGGCGTCGGTAGCATTGGTGCTCAGCACGGAAAACAAGATCGACGGAAAACAAATCAAAGGGGAAAAAAAAGGTAGAAGTCGTTCAATTGAACTGTTTTCAAATGAGATTGTACGCAGATTTGAAAAATCATGTTTCGAGATAAACGCGTCTAAAGTTTTGGCAACAGTCCCATGGCCGCTTCGAGCAATGGCCTGTAGAAACTTTTCATGTGCGCGGATCGAAAAACCCTTCCAACACAATTTAGACAACATAGACTCTTATACATTTCAAAAAAATGCAATAACAAAACAATCGATTTTTTTGAAAATCGTGTATGAGAACCTCCCCTTAAGGGATTACTTAAGGGGGAAAGGCGCAATAGTTTTTTTTTGTTTATTAGAGAGCCTTTCAGCCTTGAGCTGCAAAAATGCGATAACAGATAAAAATAGTGGATGCCTAGGATTATACCTAAAAGACAAGGAATCGCGTAATATGTTTCATACATTTTTTTTTTATTACTTTAACTAATCATGTTTGTATTACTTCATGCGTGAAGTTAACGATTGACACACTTGGAGATGCTTAACGTGAAATATAAGATTTAAAGTGGTAATGTTATACGATAGTTGCGGAGATGAAAATATTGAGTTGATTGTTCCGTGAGGGTACGGCAGTCTGAACTATCAACTCAATACTTTCATCTCTTCATCTATCGTTTAAAATTACCACTTAAAGTCTTATATTTGATGTTAAGCATCACTTTTCTTTTTACGTCCCGGCCACCCGTGAGTTAAGGACAAGATTGATATAATCCACAAATGGCAACAAAATCAAGTCAAATCAGCCGTGGCAGTGACTATTTATGTACGTTGTCCTTAATAAAATAATGAATGTTAATTGACAGTTGCCTTGGCTGATTTCCCGACAGTTTGCTTCAAAATGTACTGTTCAACGGCTTCGTTAGAATTACAATATTTTTCTTGCGTAGTGATTTCCTTACAGGATCCCATAAGGTCCGGAAATAAACAAACGCCTGAAACGTCCACCCTAGAGCCTCAGCCATTAGGGGTCTTATTTTTTTCATAAACTCTTTTGGGCTAGAACAGTTTAAAACACGGACAAGATTGGTTGAATGAAGTATGGTTTAGCTTTTGATTAATATCGACCATGGTTAAAATTCGAATTAGTGACGATCTACTGTTACATTTAGAGAAGATCTAATTCAATCACATCGCAACTGTTTACATACAATCAAGAATAAAATAACATCAGGTTCATGAGTAGTACAACATTTTTGAGCGGTGATCAAAGATTGATAATATTAGGATCATTTTTATGTCATCATCACCTTACATCAGTATTCAATACGAGTTTTGATACTAGAAGTGACCTGAAACATACCAAATATATCATGTGACTTATCAAAATACATGAGAAATCTAAAACAAGATCAATGGTGACCATATTGACTGCCCAAAACCACGCTGGCCAGTCATGGACATGTTGCAGGTAACCCCGGCGAAGTAAACAGTTTTTAACTTGAACCAAAACCTATCATGCAACACCTCAAATCACGTGAGAACTGAAAATCTAATTCAATGGTAGTTATATTAAGTTGTCACATTACTCACATCTGGACAAATTCCGGAAACCCAGGGGAAGTGACCAGTTTCTGACTTGGACCAAAACTGTTCAAGTACACTTAAAATCATCTGAGGATTCATAATAAAACTCAATAGTTGCTATATGAGGTGCCCTGGACCACATTGTCCTATCTGAACATGTTCCGGGTGCACTCTGAGTAGTTTCAAGTTTCTAATTTGGGCCACATCACATAAGCACAATGTATTTGTTAGAATGACTTTAAAACAAAAAAAAAATCGGCGTTCCACAAATTGTCACCATTCGAAAGATGGGAATTTTTCATTATTTAAATATTTAAAAAAATCTCGATATTTTTCATGAGTGACCCATATTTTGTATGAAAAAGTGCCCCCGATGAAATATTTCATTAGAAGTCTCAACATTTCGGAAAAGTCCCCTCTTTCGAATGGTAAAGTTTCTGGGAATGCAGATTTTTAAAAGAATAATGTTATTTTTACAAAGGCACTGTGATGAGAACTAAAGAATAAGATCATTGACGGTCATATTGAGTTCCCAGGCCCATATCGGTCACAAACGGATATGTTCCAGGTACTTTAGAGGAAGTCTAAACCCATATGGCTAAGCAAATCACATGAGAAATTAAAATAATCTTTACGTACAATTAAATGTAGAACCAGAAACGACATTGGCCAAGAAAGTGACCGGAATTTTTAATTAACCAAAACATATCTACATATCATCTGAATGTTCAATAACAAAAATAAACAGTATCAGCACGCCAGATTATGCAGCTTCCATGTACCTCAGATTTTTATTCCTCAAAAGTAAGTTTGGGAAATTCCATTATTAAATCAGTGGATTAAAAATATTAATTAGCGGGAAACTGGAACTATTCAATTTTATCATGATGTTGCAACAAAATTATAGGAGACAACTATGAAGAGCCAAATCCACCCCGTATAAAAATGCACCAATATTTTTCCTCGATAAAATATTTTAAAACCAATCTATTTAGCAAGGCAACACGAGCAGGAGAAAATAACAAATACCAAACAATTACATGTAAAATACTTTGCAAATAACAAAAATTGATATTTGGATACCAAAAGAATACCTGTGTGGCATTGTTTTGGTATTGCAAAATCATTATTTGGTATTGGATTTTTTTTTTTTTCCTATGTTGGGTACTTTTTTTCCACTGCGACCAGTTATTTGATCTATTGTGGCGGGCTCTGGTTTAATGTATGCCACATCAGGGTGTTGTATCACTATTTGTTTGAGTGATTTCCACTAGCTAACTATAGGCGTTGTCCCAGTAAGGTATTATACACTCCCGGAAATAAATGTAAAGACACATAAAAAAGCATGGCGCCTACCAAATATAAGAATCAGAGGAATTCTAAACCATGTATTTTTGGAAGCCACATTATCATGCTACAATATCACCCATAGAAATAACCAATTGCATCATGTACGCAGGGGAAATAAATGGAAATGTGATTTTCTCCTTCGGAAATAAATATAAGGCCGCCATACAAAAATGTATGGGAAATTGGTCATTTTCGAAACATTACTAAGCATGTCAACAATTCTTGTAGCACCAAAATAACCAAAGAGTTAGTTAAAGTAAAAATTAAACTTAATTTCTGAAACGTCATGATCCTATTAATTTGTTTGAACATTTCAAGACAAATTCTAACTCGGAAAACGCCTAAATACATACATTCACCTAATTAATCATCGCTGATCAACCAATGATTTTTTTTTGTAATTTTCGATAACTTCTAGCGATTGGATCTGCTTAAAACGTTCCAGAAATTAAGTTTAATTATTACTTTAACTAACTCTTTGGTTATTTTGGTGCTACAAGAATTGTTGACATGCTTAGTAATGTTTCGAAAATGACCAATTTCCCATACATTTTTGTATGGCGTCCTTATATTTATTTCCGAAGGAGAAAATCACATTTCCATTTATTTCCCCTGCGTACATGATGCAATTGGTTATTTCTATGGGTGATATTGTAGCATGATAATGTGGCCTCCAAAAATACATGGCTTAGAATTCCTCTGATTCTTATATTTGGTAGGCGCCATGCTATTTTATGTGTCTTTATATTTATTTCCGGGAGTGTAGTATAATATTTCATTTATATTATTGAATTTTGCATTTATATTATAAATATTCACTTTTCAGCTTAGAGTTGAACTAGTCTATAGAAGTTAAAGTTAAGTTAAA